GTGTGTGTGTGTGTGTTATCTACTAGTGTTTCAGTTTCTTATGTACTTTGTTTAGATAATGAGGTTTTTCCTGCCCTTCTTTTTGTACAGAAAAGGGTTCATCTAATATTGTTTATACTATTTCATAACATTCTTTAACTTATGCCTCCTTTTCCAAAGTATTTTCATTTAATTGCACAAGTGTTGAAATCCTTCTAATTTGCTTGTTTTCATTTGTTTTGTTCATCCTTTTGCCTTAGAATTCTATGTTGCCAGTTCTTTGTTATTTTCAAGTATCTAATCAAGAGGAGTTGTCCTTTATTTACCCTCTTTTAAACCAGGAATTTGTTCCATGCTAAGAACAAGACAAGTCAAATATCGTTTATTAAGCACTGGAGTATCAAGGGCAGCAATAAGTCTTGCTGATACAAAAGAAGGCAAAAAAACCCAAAAAACAAAACAAAAGCCCTTCTTCTCAAACTGCTCACAGTCTAATGGGGGAGATGACTGTAGACAAGTTATATATGGAATAAATCAGAGACAGTCTGAGAACACATATGATAGTTTGTAAGTTGTTTTGATTTTCTAGCAGATGGCTAGCTAACAAATATAGCAGCATTAAGAAATACAGAGTGTTCCTTGCCAATATCACAAATGCAATTTAGCACTACTACAAGGACCAGAATTTAATAATATCTCCAAATACCAAGCAAATTGTGTATGTTCTATCTCCTGGGGTATTCCTTGGCGTGTACACAAATACATAGACCTTCATTTTCTAAGACCTAGCTTCACTGCCTTTCCACTTTGAACAATTTACACTTCCAGAATTATATAAGTAAACACATTTCAGTCATGCCAGCTAACCAAATGACAGGCAGCATGGAGTCCAGAAGACCTGCCTTCAAATCCTACTTTAGGCACATACAAGATATGTAATGATGGGGAAGTCACTTGACCATAATAGCCTCTCTGTAAGACTTTCAGTTACAGACAATTTGCTGATCTGAATTGGTGGAGAAAGTATCCACACCAGGAATTCATCTACCTATGAAATTGCATAGGTCTGGAACAGAAATTAAATAAAAGAACCCAGCCAAATAGAATCACAGCCATTAATAAAGAATTATTCATTTTATGTGATCATAGCAATGCAAGTATACCTCTCCTCATTCAATAGATATGTCCATATATTCAACATTAATGTCACATATCTGAATGTGCTCTTGAGAGAAACATACCTATTTGCAAGGCCCTGTGACCATTTTGTGGAGGCTACAAGTAAGGATAAATCAGTATCAGCCTACTTATAGTTTGCAATCTGTTCTACAATCTATTAATTAAGGGAAGGTATATCTAAGTCAAATAATCTAGTAACAAACTAATGGAAGTTCCTATTTAAAGAAACTTTCATCATAAAAGCAGCATGGCTTCTAGCAGCTATAGCACCATACTTGGAGTATGGAGACCAGAGTTCAAATCCTGATTAATCAGTTAACAATGAAAATTCTCATGGGCAACTCATAGAACTTGTCAGGGCTTCATTTTTCTCATCTCTAAAATGGGAATAATCATAATTACACTACCTACCTCACAGGGTTGTTGCGAGGAAAATATTTTGCAAACCATAAAATGTTCTATGTATTATGTAGATTCATCTTTGTAAAGGAAAAAAATATTTCATAATAGTAATAATTAACCTCTTGAATGTTGGTATAAAAGTTTTCCTAAAAGTTAAGCATGTCTGACAAACAATGCTACATTACTATTTTGCCCTTGATTTGCTATTTAACTTATCTTGCTTTCCTTAAAAATTGAACCATTGTCAACTTTATGCATTATTTTTAACTGAGCTGCCTTTTCTCTTGATCCTAACAAATTTAACTTTAAACTCTCCTATTATTGTAAACTTTCTTATTATTTGTACTCTCCTGAATATTGTAATACTCATTATTATTACAATGTATCAATATATACTAACTACATGATATATCAGAAAATAATATCATAGAGGTAATACAAATTCCTAAAGTCATATAGGAATTAATAACAGTCCATACTACCAATCTTTTTATTGGTCCAAACAAATTACTTTGAAATAGAAAAATGTAAAATAATGCTTGTTTACTTAATTGAATTCTATCCCCAAAGACTGTGAGACAGCTTTTCTTGTCAAACATGCTTTATAGCATTGGCTTTATCACTGAAATATTCATTTTTTTCTTTTTGAGCTGATACGAAAGATGTGTCAGGAAGTAGTTGTGCTTCTCTTTACTGGCAGATCCATTCCCAAGATTCGAGCCTGTTTTGTTTTTATTCTTTTCATCTTTATATCATCTTGACTGAATATCCCTAAATTCTTGCACTGTGGTTTTGTCATTGTGACACAGTTTCATTTGTGTTTTAATTTGATGCATGTTCCCAATAATCAAAGGAGAATACAACAAGCTTTGGCCAATCATCTTTCGCAGGTGACGCTACTTAGCATTTCATGGAAGTCTGGCATGATTTATAATGGGGGTTTAACAACATTGCAATGTAACTACCTCACTATAATTGATCTTGTCTTGTCACTGACTTTAATTTAGTACATTGTTATCTAGTAAGCCAGAAAGTAAATGTGTTGTCTATCTTAATGATACTAAAAACTGTGATATTCTTTGGCAGTCCATGAATTTATCAGCCATGGTTTAGATGAAAGGGGTTACTTTCTTCCTATAAATGGAATAAAAATAATGATATGTGATATGCCATTCAGACTTCATTTTAAAAATATTCAAATTGACCTGACTTATTGGAACTTTATTTTAGAAGGTATTCTTTCACAGAATACCTTCAATGAATTTAGATAGGTAAGAAGTACTACAGTTCATTGGGAAAATATCTAAAAATACAAAGGGAAATGCTAAAACATTAAATAGAAGATTTAAACAAATAGTCAATTCATCATTTTATTTACATAAGATCCTGTTTGGATGATTGCCCTCCCTCCACCACCCCTATGAACTGCATTAATAGGGTATTCTGGAACAAATTGTGTTGGGGAAAAGCAATAGAAATCTTATAGAAATTGTGTTGCAGAGTGAAGCCAATTATATTCCCTGTGGGGTGTGATATATGTAAAATCATCTTATTTGTCTTTTAATGGTATGGTATTTCTTTTTTTTAATTAATTTTTCCATTTACTATGACTGCCTCCTACTTCCCCACCAATTGAGCAATTTTTTAAATGAAAAATGCAACCCTTGTGTTCAAAAATGCATAGGCCAGCAAAACAAAATTCCCACATTGGCCATGTCAAAAAATGTATGTCATCCTATTAATTCTGAAAATACAAACTCACACTCCTTGAACTATTTGTAATTATTTTGAAGTGTGAAAATTAGAATTTTTAATAGGTGATGTCTTAACATTTTTTTCCACAGGCAACTAAATTTACCGCTAGAACTTGTTCAAAAGAAGATGGGAGAAGAGAATATCCCTTCCCCCTCCCCCATACTTGTTTCTTAATAACCTAGCTTTATAATGATTGTTCATGGTTCTTAATAAGATATTAAACCAATTTATATTGTATTTTAGTTCTGCAAATATTTTTTCCATTTTCCTTAAGTTACCAACTGTTGGATATTTAATACCCATTGATGAAGGATTACCCCCTGTCAATTACTATATTTATTTCCTTAATGGCTCATTAATTAAAATTGCGCTGGATAATATTGGACTTCTTGATTTCAATTATGACAGTTTCTTTTTTTTATTTTTTTTCAAACCCCTGTTTTTATGTGTGTATTTTTTTCCTCTGCCTAGACCTGGTTAACCATTTCTGTGAACAGGTCCTCAATTTTTTACTTTGTCCCTACTTTCCTGTCGTAGCCCCATCTTCCCCTGGTGTCGACTCCGTACCCTTACAGCGCACAGGCAGTCAGCACGGCACACAGAATGCAGCATCGACCTTCCAGAGGGCCAGTTACGCTGCAGGCCCAGCCTCCAATTACGCAGACCCCTACCGACAGCTGCAGTATTGTCCTTCTGTCGAGTCACCATACAGCAAATCTGGGCCTGCCATACCACCCGAAGGGACTTTGGCTAGGTCACCTTCCATTGATAGCATTCAGAAAGATCCCAGGTGGGTGAAAACTTAATTTTTTCCTACATTTGATAACAAAAAAAAAGGTTTCTGACTTTTATCTATATTATTACTTTTTACTTGTGTCTTAAGAGTATTGATTTAGTTTGAGTTCTATGGCTCTATGTTTAGGTTATAGTCAAGTGTGTTTAGAATTTGTCTTCGGAATCTACTGTCCTTCTAAATAAAACTTAAAAGAAAAACTAATTTTATGCTCAGAATTTCTAAATATGCATTCCTTTTCAGCTACTGATAAGAAATAGAACAACTCTGCTCAATGCAATGGGAGGAGATACTGGTTGGTTGCATCTGAGGACCTGGAGTCACGTGTTTGATTTTTACTTTAATTGATTAGTAATATCTCCCTTCCCCCTTTTTTAAGTGGATGCCTCTTTGGTCCTCAATGAGTTTCCTATCAAGCTATAAATTCCTGATGAATTATAGTAGCACAGTGAAAGCCAAGGAAATTCTAGTTACTTTCATACCTTTCCATCAGAAAGTAAACTTTGAGGATTAAATTGTTTCTGAGCTTGCAAAAATCATGAAAGATATTTATTAAAGAAATTGTTAATAGGTGCTTCTTTCCTCCACCCCCACCCTCCCCCATAGTAGCATAGGAATCACTAATAGGAATCGCTAAAAGAATCACTTCTGAAGTTGAAATTGTTTTGTTGTATAGTTAAACAATATTTTATTCATATTCACTTGATTTATGCAGATAGAGCTGCCATAAATATATGTCTCCATCTGTGAATACTACAGTTATGTCATATTTCCAGTATCTTTATGGAAAGGCATGTGGCTTGAGTATATAAGAGTATACTTAAAATTCATCCCAAAGAAATTTAACTGGTAGAGCTTAAGAGTGCAGATGTACTGTGATGTGGGTTTTGCATATATTTCACACAGAAAGAAATCATATCCAATGGCATGCAAATGTTAAGATAGGTAATTTTATGGAATGCTTTGAGATAGCTACTTGAGCACCATTCATACCCACTTTGAAGAAACCATATTAAATTGAGTGTTCAATATTGCCTCTTATTTATCCAAATAAATGCTATTTATCATGAATAATATAAGAGCAATTATTAATGCAATACAAGGAGTCCTGATCCTTCAATTTCTCAGTTACAGTATTTGCTGCCATACACGTAGCCCTCAGCTATGTTAAAAATACTTTTGTAATTCTGGCACTAACAGATAAAAAAAATCTTTTGTAAAAGACATGCTTTAATCTTGTTTTTAATGTCTTATTTTGATTACCTGCAAAAAAAAAATAGTTAAATTGACAGAACCAGAACTGTGACTTTCATTGATATAGGGAAGTCCCCTTGAAGAAACAACCTCTACCAGTGCAGAGAATCACTTTCTCTGTAAGTCATAGTCATTTCATAGTAGGCAGAAAAGGATAAAGAAGCAAAATGAATCAGAATTATCAAGAAACATCATGGACTACAGTAGTTAGAGATGCCAATAATCATTTTAGAATAAAATGTGTAAAGAATGATTGTTACATATTTTTTAAAAAGGAAAAAATGTTTCATCTTAAATGAATGGATTTTTAAAAATTTCACATCAGATATTGTTTAAAAGAAACCAAATTTCTGAAAAATGTATTTCTACAGTATTGTCAGATCACATTTGGAGTGTTATATTCAGTTGTACATGCTATGTTTTAGGGTAACCTGAGGTTCAAGTCACTGTCCCTTTGTGGACATTAGTAAGATGGAGAGTATCTAGTGGAGAAGGATAACTAGGATATTGAAAAGCTTAGAGTGGTGGTGTTGAGGGGGAGGTGATCATGGGACCATTGATCAATTGATGTCCTTCAAGTCCACTTGATGGAATATAATTCTGTCCAAGAGTCCATCCAATATAAATCAATATTTGTAACTGAGAAATTGAAGAATCGGGATTCCTTGTATTGGGTTAATAATTGCTATTATATTATTCGTGATAATAGTTTTTGTTTTGAATAAATAACAGAGGTAAGGTGATGTTGAACACTAAATAGCAACCAGGAAAGCAGCTTGATCTTCAGTTTACACTAAAATGTAAAGAGACAAAAAGAGTATTAAGGTCTTAAAGTATGAAGAAGTCATTATACTATGTTACTTTTGATTTGATTCATTCCGCCATATCTAATAGAATCATAAGGCAGCCAGCATAAAAGTGTGCTCTATATTTATGGGGCTGATGTTTTGTAGCTATTGTTCTTAGGATACTATCTTGGTAAATGCCTTTGCTTTTTGTGTTTTCTGGCTAAAGGTAAACACATCAGGAGGAACTTATAGGCTTTGTAGTACTAGGAGTGGAGACCCATGGAGTATCTTGAATCAAGAGTAGGAGAGTCAAAGATGATTCTAAGGTTTTGAATCTAGGTGATTTAGGAGAAAATTATGTTCCTTCCATTTCAGGTTAGCATCTAAAGAGCTGGGTATTATACACTGTTCTACACTGTATTTAACAAATGCTTCAAATAAAAATAAAAGTTAATTCATATATTAGAGTGTTTGTAGGGTGAGTTGTATATGAGAGTGTTTAAGTCAAGATATGACATCTTTACTGCAAGAGTATGATTTAATGAAAGAACTGGAAATAAATTCTGAGGTTCTTAAGGCTGAGGTATCCTAGTGTGCTGTAGATTTTACTTTTTTTTTCCTACATAAAGACAAAAGTTGTCACTTCAAAGTTCCTTTAAATAATTTCATGCATGAGTTTTGCAGTAATAGCAATTGTCTTATTTTTAATCCTTTTTGGTTAATCCTCTTTTTTGGATGTTGTTAATTCCTGATACACACTTCTGAAAAGTAATTTATCAAATGTCAACAAGGGAAAATTATTTCACTTACTGCAATTGTGATTTGCTTGTTTCCCTTGAAGTAGAATTGGTGTGTTGAAACTAGTATCTAGCACAAAGGAAAATATGTACATAATATTTTTTTTAATTTAAATTTGACCAGGGTGGACAGAATCAGTACCTGCATTTTATCATAACCATTTCATAGAAAAATTATACAGTATGTAATTTTGTTCTCTTGGAAGGACTATCTATTCTAATTAATATTGTAAGGAATTATATCATATATAATGGCATTCTTATATAACTCTTCTAGATTTAGTTTATGTTATAGAAGGCTCTCACCAATTTCTAGGAAATAATGAAAACCCTGTAATTTACTCTGTAGTTTATTATAAGCATGTATTTTGTATATGAGTTAGACGCTAAGAAAATTAACTACTAAAAAAGTGACAGATAATGAAGGGAAGACTTTTTAAAAACATCTGAGATTATCTTCTACATATTAACTTTCTCTATATATAATAAGTGCATATTTATTTGCATATTCTCTCCCCAAGTAGAATGTGAGCTCTTGGGCGCAGGGACTATTTTTGACATTTTTTTTTTTTGGTATCTCCAGACTTTTGCATATTGCCTGACATTTAATAATTACTTAATAAGTGCTTCTTAAATGACTCATTGATAATCTCAGAGGGACCTCATTTTAAAGTGGCTTTTATGTTACTTTATTTGAGACAAATTGACAGGCAAAAAAGCAAAATCAGTTTTTTGCCTAGAATTTTCCCTTAGAGGTCAGTTGTATGCCTGAGAATTTATCCATTAAATTGACTTTGCTTACCTTTGGAGAATTCAAAGAAATAATTTTCTAAGTGTTCCAGGTAGTTAGTCTCAGGAGGGAAAATCTCTGAAGAATCTGAAGTTCCTAATAAATTCCTTGGGCTGTCTAGGTAACTCATCCCACATTTATTTTCCCTTGGGAATATTCTTTAAATCCCTTCATCTCACTATGTGTTTGTGTACAGAAGATCTTGCTGTGTTGTGATGAACTACCTCCATAGGAGAGATCTTTTTCACCACCCAAAATTATAATGGCTATTGAATGTGAAGTAACAAACTTCACTTTCACTCTGCCAACTTGGCCACAGAATACAGTAGCCATGAAAAAGTAGTTCAGGTTCACCCCCATTGTATGCAGAAGGTACATTCCTAAATCTATTCCCACTGGCATCATTTCAGACTGTTATTTACCTTAGAGGTTGATTGACCTTCATTCAGCACTGAATGCTACTACTTTAACTAAAAGTGTTTCACAAGGAGTTTAATTTTGAAGAAATAAAGATGAGCATCACTAAGGCTCATGGAAAGCTGTGTGTTGGTTGTGAGCAGGCTGAAACATGGAACCGACCAGGAATTTTGATGAATAGGTGTAAAGGGTGTCACTGAAGAATTGTATGACAGAAAAAAGACAACAAGCCTGTCATATAGCAAGAATGAAGCATGACAAATGGACACCCAGAGTGCTCCAGTGATACCTTAACAATAGGTGGAACCCCATGGAGGACTTGTAGGAAAATATGAAGCAGAGTCATCCAGGATAGACGGGGAAAGATGGAATTCAGGCTTTTTCTTTAGAGGGAACTTACCAACTGATGAGAACACAGATCCATTTGAGTAGTGACTATTCATGTTTCAAGTAAGGAGTGAAACTAGGTTGCTGATAGTTCTTAGCACTGTGCTAGGCACAGAGCATATAATGAGTAAATAATTATTTGAGAGAAGCAGATTGGCTTGGTAGATAATGCGATAAACTTGGAGCTAGGAAGACCTGGGTTTGAATCTTGTCTCAGCTACCTACTAGCTATATGACCCAAAGCAAGGCATTTAGCCTGTCTTACCCTTGGTTTCCTCAACTGTGAAAATGAGCACCAATTGCACTTATCTCACAAGCTACTTGTTTTTTAATTAACTAATTTTTAGTTTTCAACATTCATTTTTAGAAGATTTTGAGTTCTAAATTGTCCCCCTCTTTCCCCTCTTCCCTCCCCAAGATGGCATGCAATCTGATATAGGCTGTACATGAACAATCATATTAAACATATTTCCACATTAGTCATGTTGTAAAAGAAGAATCAGACAGAGTAAAAGGGAAAAACCATGAGAAAGAAAAAACAAAAAAAAACAAAAAAAAGAAAAA